ATGACCTTTTCCTAAGTATTCCATTTTAATTGATTATTGTAACTAAACCATATTTAGTCACTGTAATATATTTTGTAACTAAATTTTACTAAAACATCCAAAATATATCCAGAAACCAATAAGAAATTCTCTAGTCAAAACGTCAGAGTCTAATTTTCTCTGCCAGGCGAAAATATATATAGCACCTTAAAAGAACAAGATACATATATTGGATTAAGAATCAGCCAATCAGCAGCCTATAGGTGTTGCTGTTGCTGAAAAGGATAGTGTTCCCATTGTTGGTAACACAACACAGCTAATGAAAAAGGAGTACCCATTAATCAACATGTTCTACCATTAATTAAAACTCCAGATGTGTGAAATGGATTACAAACATGATTAATGCCTGGACAGGTTTCCTGTGTCTCATTATCACAACTGAGGACATGTTTCTTGGAATATTGATCAGTGATGACAGTACAATATACATCCTTTCTTTTCTCAATTAGGTCACAGTGACCTAATTTCTAGGAAATGTATATCTTGTGTGGGTGTTATTTTTTTTTTTTCAATTTTAACCAATGATCTTAAGGTTAAGGTTACAGTTGTCTGTATACACAAGAATACGATAAGAATGAGACGGAAAATGATGCTCAGGAGTTACCAATGACAGAGAAAAATGTTCTCTGAACGATTCCACAACTCACTGCTCAGTAAACTACCTAACCTTCACCAGAATCACTTAATGAATATAAACCATCCTCCATACAATATCATCATATCTACAGAAGCATTTAATTGTCTGATGCAGTACAATTATTGTTTATAATGGGGCCAGTATCAAAAGAGAACCAGATGGGACAAATATAGACAACAGATTTGTCTTTATCACCAGGCTTTCTTCATTTGTAACATAAATTCAGCAGCTAATTGGTGTAGAGTACATGTAGTACTGAAAAACGAAAACTCCAGAAAATGTTTTACAGTATGTAACATGAATATCACGTCGCCTGAACACTGATGTTCGTCAGTGAGACGACACAGGAAGCGTCACAGAGACGGAAAAACTGTCAATCAATCAATCAAAACACGTAAATGATATTCTCTAATACCAAAACTGAGAAAAAACGGATTTTAAAAGCAAAATACAGTGAAACGTGTTTAGCTTTTGTGATGTTTAAATGAGTGTCTTTATAATACAGGAAAGGCACCAAAAAGGGTAGCAAGCACCTGTTAAAGTTCACCAATCACTTTCAATGTATTGTGTTTCTATCAATTGACCTGTTAACTTTCCACATATTTGTAAGATGGGAAAAAGTGTGCAGTAAAAATGAACAGTAGACTGTACATATACAAGGTCCTATAGGGAAAAGAGTGTCTTAATGTACAGCTATACTTAAATATGGATGTAAAGTTTAGGAGAAACAAGTTTTAGCAAAAATCAGGAAGTCACTTAATAAACAGGAAAGACAAGCAGGTATCATGATGACAGTACAAAGGTATCATGATGACAGTATCATGATGACAGTACACAGGTATCATGATGACAGTACACAGGTATCATGATGACGATACACAGGTATCATGATGACGATACACAGGTATCATGATGACAGTACACAGGTATCATGATACACAGGTATCATGATGACGATACACAGGTATCATGATGACAGTACACAGGTTTCATAATGACAGTACACAGGTATCATGATGACAGTATCATGATGACAGTACACAGGTATCATGATGACGATACACAGGTATCATGATGACAGTACACAGGTATCATGATGACGATACACAGGTATCATGATGACAGTACACAGGTATCATGATGACAGTACACATGACAGTACACAAGTATCATGATGACAGTACACAGGTGATGACAGTATCATGATGACAGTACACAGGTATCATAATGACAGTACACAGGTTTCATAATGACAGTACACAGGTATCATGATGACAGTATCATGATGACGATACACAGGTATCATGATGACAGTACACAGGTATCATGATGACGATACACAGGTTTCATAATGACAGTACACAGGTATCATGATGACAGTACACATGACAGTACACAAGTATCATGATGACAGTACACAGGTATCATGATACACAGGTATCATGATGACAGTACACAGGTATCATGATGACGATACACAGGTATCATGATGACAGTACACAGGTATCATGATGACGATACACAGGTTTCATAATGACAGTACACAGGTATCATGATGACAGTACACATGACAGTACACAAGTATCATGATGACAGTACACAGGTGATGACAGTATCATGATGACAGTACACAGGTATCATGATGACAGTACACAGGTTTCATAATGACAGTACACAGGTATCATGATACACAGGTATCATGATGACGATACACAGGTATCATAATGACAGTACACAGGTATCATGATACACAGGTATCATGATGACGATACACAGGTATCATGATGACAGTACACAGGTTTCATAATGACAGTACACAGGTATCATGATGACAGTATCATGATGACAGTACACAGGTATCATGATACACAGGTATCATGATGACGATACACAGGTATCATGATGACAGTACACAGGTATCATGATGACGATACACAGGTTTCATAATGACAGTACACAGGTATCATGATGACAGTACACATGACAGTACACAAGTATCATGATGACAGTACACATGACAGTACACAGGTATCATGATACACAGGTATCATGATGACAGTACACAGGTATCATGATGACGATACACAGGTATCATGATGACAGTACACAGGTATCATGATGACGATACACAGGTATCATGATGACAGTACACAGGTATCATGATACACAGGTATCATGATGACGATACACAGGTATCATGATGACAGTACACAGGTTTCATAATGACAGTACACAGGTATCATGATGACAGTATCATGATGACAGTACACAGGTATCATGATACACAGGTATCATGATGACAGTACACAGGTATCATGATGACGATACACAGGTATCATGATGACAGTACACAGGTATCATGATGACGATACACAGGTTTCATAATGACAGTACACAGGTATCATGATGACAGTACACATGACAGTACACAAGTATCATGATGACAGTACACAGGTGATGACAGTATCATGATGACAGTACACAGGTATCATAATGACAGTACACAGGTGATGACAGTATCATGATGACAGTACAAAAGTTCAGTATTACACAGCCTTATTGAGAAGGTCACTAGATTTCTATTCTGATCTTAATGTTTGACAACAGTTCATGGATACACCTGTCCTGGTGTCCACACAGCCTCTTGTGTAGTATGACATCAAACAGATATCTTAGATACTGGGGAGATGCCAGTGCTTGAGGAGAGATATACTGACCCCTGATAGGGATCTAACTGGGCCCTTGGGACCTCAGATGTAAACTGTACCCCTAATCTTGTTAGCAGGGAACAGCTGTCTAGGAACACACTGCTCCCGAGGGACTCACTATTTGTTGATAGGTGATTACAACCACCATACTTAATTCACCTAATGACAGAAAACTAGCATTTCTTCAATTAAGAATTTACTCATAAGTACTTTATAACAATTGAAACATGTGGGTTACCTCTTCTCTAATTTAAGCTGAAAACATCATTTTAAGAGCAAAAAACTTTTGTTGGTATCACATAACTGTATATGTAGATATCTTATCTTCTGTATAATATTTTTGTGGTTTGTTTATAAATACAGTCACAATAAAACAAACATTTCTACAAAACAAAATTTCATCTGATACAGTATGTTGTGGTTTCTAGCTAATTCAGAACTGATATAAAGCTAGCCATTCTCCAGCACAGCTAGGCATTCTGTGGGTTACCTTTACTTATAACTAAATAAAGTTTCTAGTGGGATCAGACTGGGATTTGTAAGTAAATTAAACTTTGATATCTTTGAAACTATTTCCTTGAGTATCTTTTTAACTTGGATCTAAGGTTACGAAAAGTCTGTGAATTTTGACAAAAAAGAGATAATGTTTTCTAATGTATCGACCAATCTACACTGACAACTCTATACAGGCAAGATATATATAACAATATATATATATAAGTACTTTGCTGTCAGTAGTCAATAGCATTAGCTCTTATTTATCATATTCTATCATCAAACATACAGAGCTAACACCCTTCAGATGACGGTGACTACAGTGTAAATCACAACACCACACCAGTCACTTGACAGCGACAACTGTTTTAACTAAAGCTAAATGATGGGCAAATTTTCAATAATTTACATTTCCAAAACGTTCTCCATAGCAGTTTTGTTTGTTCGTTATTCCATCAAATCTGATGTGTGTTAATACCCAGGGAAACCGTAGGCATCATAACTAGATATATCTAGTATTGTAACCCTATCTATAATCATTGTCAAATGTCACGTCATTCTCTCCCCCCAAAATCTCTCAAACCTCCCAGTGGGTGTGAATTTCTACATTTCCTTATCCTCTGCATCAATATCGATTGACTTTGTTTTATTTTTCTATAAATTTTCCATTTTGAATAAAGATAGAAACTTCATCCGCAGAAAAATTATCTGTCATCGTTGTGACAACAGTTTGTGTATGTCATTTACAAATTCTTGTCCGACAATTTGGACTTCTAAACAGTTTGTGATATATGTGTGTAACATCCTTATTTACAGCTTAAGCATACAGTTACATGTACTGTCATTTTTTTATTCTATAAATCACAGAGGGCAACTTTGTTTTACAATTCTAAAAAAAAATATTTTAAAAAGAAAAAAAATACTATCATGTTCAACATTTATACATAAATTTCAAACAGTTTCAAGAAATTTGTTTCAAAACTTTCATTCTTTGACTTCTGATGATGAAACTCATATAAATGTTTTATTTGTATAATAGACTCATGAATCAAGTTTTAATCAACAAAAAATTTTGAGAAAAATTGATTTAAATGTAAAGAAGAATAAGTTAAGTTTCTTACCTGTAGTCGAGAAGTCGTTCCAGCAGACTGGTGACGGACAAGATAAACTGACTGCCATTTTCTTGGAGTGTCGGGTCTGCTTGCACTTTGTCCAAAAGTCTGGAGAAAAATTTCACCATTTTGTAAACAAATCCTCACTCATATCATATAAATATTTCAACATTGTGTAATTCCAGTAGGAAGCTGAATAATATGTATAGAACACCACACTGTTACACTACATCATACACAGTATTGTAATTCCTTCATGCGAATAATATGCATTTTTTTTTGCAACACAACACATGAAACATCAATTTTATAAATGTAGGTATGATGCACTCCAGCCCGGGGTTTATATGAACTGGTATAGGTTTGGAAACATCAAAGTGAATTCTTCAACAGTGGCTAGTGTAGTAAACAAGTTCACCACGAGCATGTGAGGATCTCCCACTTACTGCAGCAATCCACGCAAGCCTCATCCATCAGCACGAATCAGAGTAAACTATTCACAAAAGATTATCCCAAACAAATATCTAATGATCCCGTAATTTTTCCCTGTACAGACACTTCCATATAAATAACTGACTTCTGTATATCCACAACATGAATTTATCAATCCAATCACAACGCTAACATTTGATAAACTGTTAGAACAAAAAAAGCTCCTCGGCAGCTATGAATGAGCGTGGTTGGTGATATTGTTGTTTCCCATGTAACCACTGTATCACAGCTGATACCTTAACAACACAAACAGCTCCGGTAGTTTCCACAGTGGTCAAAAATATCAAATCTAAAAAAAAGTGACCAGCTGCACGAAATTTATATGAGAGACTAAATCCTACCAGGGTAAGCCTGGCTAACTTATGGACACATGTTGACTGTGGAGTAAAGCCCCAGGGGAGAAGGTGTTGGTGTGGTGTGGGGTGCCTGCCTCTACATAAAGTGACACTGGATCCCAACACTTACACCACAAAACAGCCAAACTGAACACTCAACCTTTTTTTCTGTCAGTTTAATTTTACTTGTACAGCAGAAAATTTCTCTAACAGACTTTTAATCACATCAACTTGGAATTAAAATGAATCTACTGGAAAGTGATCAGTGGATTTCCTGTATGTGAACATTTGTATCTAATTAACAGGCTGAAGTGTTAGAAAGCTCCAGAATGGCTTGGTACTGGAAGGTACCTTATACATATATGTTTGCCTGCTAACACAGGGTAGGACCAGTAATGCTGAAAATTAAATGTCCAAATTGTCTGACCACAATTATGTAGAGATGACCCTTGTGGTCAATTGATATGTCAGTGATACCTAATAAGGGTATAGTAATGCACTAACATTGATGTGTTATGTATTGATGATCAAAGTCAACAGTGAGATGCCAATACAAATCACATAATGGCTAGTCAGAACAAATTCCATGGATCCTGGACTTGTAGTAATTATCAATTCAAAGCCTTGGCTGTAACATTTCTACACTTTTACTGAACAATTGAAGAGTTCCCTAGTGTAAGTCGAGTAATTTATGATACTTGTCAACCTTTTTAACATTCCACCATGGTTGATCAATCATTTGTAGAGAACTTCGACAACCCCTTTAGCTTTTACATAATTTGACGTTCAAGAATTCATTAAATGCTGTGGAGAATAATTTTCCTTCCTTCATTCAATGCTGATGAGAATGACCATGAGAATGACATCCATTAAATAACATGAAAACAGAGAAATATATCCTCACATCCTTGTGTACTGACTGGTCAAGACCTGTCCATCAGTCTATAGCACTGAGAATGACGGTAAGGAGACAGTGACCATACAGTAGAGAGACAGTGACCATACAGTAGAGAGACAGTGACCATACAGTAAGGAGACTGTGACCATACAGTAGAGAGACAGTGACCATACAGTAGAGAGACAGTGATCATACAGTAAGGAGACAGTGACCATACAGTAGAGAGACAGTGACCATACAGTAAGGAGACAGTGACCATACAGTAGAGAGACAGTGACCATACAGTAAGGAGACAGTGACCATACAGTAGAGAGACAGTGACCATACAGTAAGGAGACAGTGACCATACAGTAAGGAGACAGTGACCATACAGAGACAGTGACCATACAGTAAGGAGACAGTGACCATACAGTAGAGAGACAGTGACCATACAGTAAGGAGACAGTGACCATACAGTAGGAGAGACAGTGACCATACAGTACATTATACAGAAGATTCCCACAATAACTATAGTAGGAACACTGCACTCTGTCTGCACCACTGTGAATATCAACATGTGAAAACGTACTAGAGAAAACGATTGAACTTTTAACATTTAAAACCCTCAGATAGACTGTCATGATATACCTAGTAATTACACTGTATTACAGCTAAGTTATATAGTATTAAGTAAACATAGAAAATTCAACAGTTTAATCAATATTTAGGACTGACCAATCCAACAGCTGGATCAATGTTTAGAACTGACCAATACTGACCAATCCAACAGCTGGATCAATGTTTAGAACTGACCAATACTGACCAATCCATCAGCTGGATTAATATTTAGGACTGACCAACAGTGACCGATCCAACAGCTGGATTAATGTTTAGGACTGACCAATACTGACCAATCCAACAGCTGGATTAATGTTTAGGACTGACCAATAATGACCAATCCAAAAACTTGATTAATATTAAAAACTACCTTTAACTGACCAATCCAATAGCTTGATCAATTTTTAAAACTGAACACTCCAACAAAATGATCCAACAGTTTTGTCCAATAGTGTTTAGAACTGATCGATAAAGACCAATGGTATAACACTAAAAATTTCAGTGAAAAATTCCAATATACAAATTTTGTTCCAGATTAATATTGACTTTAATGTTGAATTTTACTGTATTTGTCTGGGGTTACTTATCTGTAAGAGAAAGGTTTAGAGAAACATACTATATTCTCTTACATTTCCCCCAAATAGTGGAATAACATAAGCCCTTTATAACATCAAAAGATATGGAAATGCATACAAATTTGACATCCTCCCTTCAAAGATTGGACTCATTAACCGTCACACCATCACAATCAGACATTTGTATTAGCTTTAGAATGAGAGGCTGCTCACTCTTCAGATAGGGCTCAGCAGAGATTTGATGGAAAGCCTCAACTGTTGTAGTCAATGGTTTTACAAGTGTACTCATTCACACACAACCCATATATTTATGAAGTTTTAACACAAGTTTGATTTTCATTGAAGGAAGTAAGCACTCCCTGATAAATCATTGCTTGTTTTGCAGTTACCTCCCTTGAAATAATTACTGAAACTATTGAATGCATCATCGTTAGTTTAACTTAAAATCCATAAAATGATTTACAAACTTAATCCGTTTTGTGTTTCACGTCAAAATCATCTCTTTAAGTAACCACAATAAAGAGATATCCATTGATTAATATTGAACTCTTTTGCATTAGAAATACATAACATACCCCCTTAAATGTTTGATACCTAAATGTAACACTAGAGAAATTCCATCAAGGATCCTAGAGACATAATTATCAGTCCCTATACCATTTTACAGTACATATCTGTCTTGATTTGAGTGCTATTGAGAGGTGTGTTCGCACCATCTTCCCAGACACTACCTATCAGCTGTTCCACCTTGATGAAATTGGCTAATTGCTTTCTGATAATAGACCAGGCTAGCATTAGAGTGAGAGAATGAATCTCTCAATGTCCACATTATCACCACAGCGGAGAGCATCATGTCCACTCCATCAGCTGTGAGTGTGAGGAAGGAGAGCTAAAACTTCAACACAGGAGCTGCACAGCTACAAATCTCGTGGAGATAATCCCCTTTAACCTTCACTGGTTTTATTTTAGACAACCTAATGTGATGGCCGGTGTGGTTTTATATAGTTTCTCACTAACAAAATAAGAAACCTTACGTATCAATGTAATAAATCTGGCTGCTCGTGACATTTCCGGGGAAATTTCTTCGGTTGTTCTATAAAAAGCTCAACTCAAGGCCTATTCCACAGCTGACCACTAACAGGGATGTGGCAGACTTTTACAAGTCTTGTTAAAACCTGGTAATTACACAGTGTATAACCGGGATTAAGATGGACATGACCCCAACCCTTCATTGGTTACTGATACAGATGCTGGGAACTGTCATCAAGGATTCATGGAGGAAGAAGGATCATTTCCTAATACAAATTCAGCTCTACAAATTATACATGGACATCCAGTTTCCTGCAGATAATGATACAGATGCTGGAATTCTCCATCAACTCCATGTCAAGGAAGACTTCACTCCATGTAATCAGTCCAACACATGCAGTGGTCCATCTATATCCATCAGCATATCAATAACCGGACCGTCAAATACCCATTATAGTCAATACACACGAATTCAATCTCCACCAATCTCTTCCTTATAATAGCCCTTACTGACCCTGACACCACAACCAGTCTAAGTTACAGCCAACTCACTAACATCAGATTTAATCGGTCAATAAAAGGAATATACTTCCTGCAAACCAAATATCACAACGAATTACAAAAAACCTCTACAAAGAATATAATATTAACATTTTTTGCTTTTGGGGGGGGGGGGGAGGGAGGGAGTGGTGGTGGTGGGGGGGATTGGTGGTGGGGGGAGTGAGGGTGGAGTAGTATATCAGTATACTGTATACCAGGTAATATTGTGTGAATTCAACTATCCAGACCAAAATCGACTACCAAGACATAAATTGAAGGCATAATTCTTCTCAGAATATATGTAGCAACATTCTTTCATATTCTAATTAATGAATATTGCAACATTTACAGAGAACAAAATTACAACAAAATATTCCTCTTTACCAAGTCTAGAAATCTTAAACTTTAATATCTAGTTTAGTTTTCTATCAAAATCTAATATAAACAAATAAACTGCATTCAGTAGCTTGGAGCACATTACAAAATTAATTTGTGTAAGTATTGCAGAGTAAAATTCCAGTAGCAAAAAACTATTTTCTATGAACAACTACAAAGCTGAAGTAAGTTCTCTGTTATGAACTGTATACAATACTGTTCCATTAGAGATCTGTGTATTTTCTATAGATATGAAATGGTGTCCTG